AAAAAAAAAAAAAAAAAAAAAAAAAGAGACACTTGTCCACATTCATTCTGCTTACTGATGTAATGCCACAAAAGCAATTTCACAACTTATTTTGTATGGGTCTATTTTAGCTGTGCCACATATTCATGATGATTGCTGATCGGCCCCGTTAGAGTGCTCCAACTTCATCACAAGCATTCCCAATCAATTCTCCCCACCAGACACCAACAACACCACTTTAAGGAGCAGCAGCCTTTCTCATTAGTCTCCATAGTTCCTGTACTGTTCTGTTAAAACAATCACTGTGAGATGCATGCATAAAAGAGAAAGACGAACAGAAATACTCTAATCAAGACCTGCATGATGTCTACGCTTGGTGCTGATATGTTCTTTGATATAAGAATGAGTTATAACAATGAGAGAATATTGTGCACTGTTCTGACAGACGAGCTTCATCCAAAAAGCTCCTGAGATTTGAATTGTTGCCTATTCTTCTGTTGAGTTTAATCTGTCTTGTTTATCCTACCTAAGAAAAAAAATTTTTCAATGGCCCCATTATATTTACTCACCTACTGTTCTGAACTCAGAATGAATGCATCTCCATGCTGAGCAGCCAGATGAGCATCTTCATCTTTGTTCCCAAACTACTATATAATATCATTAGTCATTTCATTGCAGTCTCTATGACTTTTGGCCAGCGATGAAATAAAAATCAAGTCTTTATGAAAGAAAACCAAATGAAAGACCCCATGAAATACTTGTCCTGTGCAATTAGGGCTCGTAGTTTATGCTCAGATTTACATGGGCCACATAAATCCCTTAACACACACTGGGAGTGGCGCATATTCAGTGTGGGACTACTAAAATGGGTGAGTACTTCAGTATTTTATGCTTTTGACGTGCGTTGATGCCAAGAAAATAAGACATTAATGTGCACCAATGCTTCAGGATGCACACACCTCATCAGTTTGCTGCCGGTGTATGGGCTTTCATTGAAAATAATAGGTGCGGGTGCTCTGATGCACGTCACACGCCGCCTTTCTGAGGTGCCCTTTAGTCCATATGCTGAAGCATTGTGCATGGAGCATTACAAAGTGTAATAGTCTGAACTTAAATAGTTTGGAAGGTGTCATCCTCTTTTACAGAAGCGTAAAAGTGTAAGGAACAGATTAACCATAAACATACAAAATAAAGCTGAAATCACTAACCTGTCCAGTAACCTAGCACTTCTAAGGGCAAGAGTAAGCACAGTTAAGTTTTCCATATCATACTTGCTCTACTAGTACTAACTGGCTCTGCACTGTAATGCAGTGACTATGTGTTATACATGGGTCAAAACTGGTGAGGAAGCAGATTTTTAGCCTATGATGCACAGCTTTAGCCTCAGTCTTTTAGCATGATATTATGTACGTAGCCATCGAGGGCATATTATGGTAAATCGTCTTATTCAGCACTTTTCTACGCACTGACGTGCACTCAAAGTGCTTTACACAATTTCCCATTCACCCATCTGTACACACATATGCTCACACATTCACACAACAGTGACATCACTGAGAGCAAAAATGGGTTCAGTATCTTGCTCCAGGACACTTTAACATGCAGACTGGTGAAGCCAGGAATTGAACCGCCGACCCTACGCTCTGCTGCCAGATGTTTTAATAAGAGTAATAAAAATAAAGCATTGTATTCAAGTTTTACAGTTTCCTTTCTCCCACTTTTTTAAACAAACATCTAACTAAAAATTAAGTGTAATAAGTAATAATTGTACTTATCTAAATATAAACAGGTGCAATGGGCAACAGAAACAGAAGAATGTCTGTTACATCAGTCCTACTGAGCACACAGTTCTTTTTGAAGTGTGTGTAGTTGCTGTGTTTTACCTCAGGTTGGATACACTGTACATATACATGTATTTCATGTGTCGCCAATAATTCTCTCACTGTGTACTATGTGTCAGTATTTTGGATGCAGTTTTCCCTTCTCCAAAGCGTTTCTGTAGGCTCTTCCTCTGTGGCTTTTTGTTCACCCAGCGCTTCCCATTCACAAGTAAGCAGGCACCCACTTTAGACAGGAGTCTTGCTCACGGTGCACACAAGATGCTACACTTTTGGTCTATGCCACTGTCATGCCTTTAAATCTGACCAACCAAGAATCAGATATCTCAGACAGATCGGCCGGTCATCGGTCAAGGCCGATCACACTGGGAACGGGCCATTTTCAATCTTTCAATGGTAAGATGATGTCATGGGGTAGGACTGGATAAGTCTGACTTCTTCCTACTCCAGTCAAGCATGTACTAGGTATAAGCACATTGATATTGGATTAGCATTTGTTAGATATGTGTAAAATTATGTGTGTTGACATATCAACTGTCTTTACATGCTTGAAAGAAAAGAATAAATCAAATCAAATCTCCGCCCATCGATCGGTACACCTCTAAAACCTCTAAAATCTCTGATAGTTGTCATTGCAGCTGGCAACATGTCCAGGTGCCAGCTGGAATTGAGAAGCTTGCTTTTGTCTGCAACTGTCTGAAAGCAAGGACCCATCTTACAAAAAAAAGCAATCTTCCACTGTTATCACTGTAAACTGCATGTACTGCTGTGAGAACAAATAACTTGACTGACAAGGCAACAGCAACTAAGGAGTAGAGACTTGGTGAAAAGTAATTTAGGACAAATAAAACTGCAAAGATGAATCCAACAGATGCCTGTTTCACAGCCTTTGTTAAGATTTTGGGCTGCATTAGGACGGTATGTGACGTTTGATGATCTCTGACCTCCGCCAACAGTATGCATTATTTAATACTATTCCACACTTTTACAGTTCACGGCAACTCTCACTCTCACTATTCTGAGTAATCTAAGCTGCACTCCACAAGAATTAATAAAGCAGTAGAGGAGCTCCTTGGGTTAAACCAGCTGTGCTGGAGTACAGTGCAAACCACAGGGAGAATCTGATACAATGCAGAAAATATAACTTACCTCTTGAAGCCTCAGTGCTGTGAGGGCTTCCCAGGAACTCAGTCTTATCTCTCTGCCACGCGTCTCTCACGGCCGACTTAAAGAATTTCCTATTATCCAGGTCCTGCAGGGGCCGGAAGTTGTTTCTAAGGTACTCCACAGACTTGACGTGATCCTGTTGCTCTGTTGTAAAGATGGAGTAAAAGGCCTCCAGCTAGATAAAAAGACAGAACAACTATACTGAAGCAAATTAAGGCGCATTTGTTATGTGTGTGTGTGTGTGTGTGTGTGTGTGTGTGTGGATTGAATATAATATATCATGCAGGACTGCTTTTGTAACCACTTGTGAGTAGGTGACTGTTCACAACTGGAGCACAGTATTTGCAAGAAACATTCCCACCACAGGCAGCAGCAGGCATGGACCCCAATCATCATCCTGGCTACCTACTGGCCTGTAACTTCTCAATGGGGCAAATTTGTGGCCATTGATTGCCATGAATGATCTCCTGCCGCGTGCTGTAATGACTACACATTACAGATACTGTGGAATCAATGTGTCCTATGCGTGCTTGGAGAAATGAATTACAGGTTCATAAAAGACTATCTGTGAGCGTCACAAACATTGTAGTGCTGGTCAATATTCTTGCAGCTGAAGTCATTTCTGAACAAAAGATTTGTCCTCCTGCAAGCTGATAGAAATTCCACTGAGCCCTGCAAATTTCTACAGCAGGGAACACTCTAGAGGATATGCAGCTGGGTAACCCGAGAATTATAAGTATAAAAGATGCAGCAAAGGACTGGTATTGGATCAGCAAAAAAGCGTGGGGCATGATTTGGCATACATTATTTCTTAAAATCATCGTGGCTAAACCATTTGGGGGTAAGCGGTTGTAAAGCCCCCACAGTAGGTACGTTTGTAAAATGCTACATTTTTCATTAGAAAAAAGAAACATTTACTAAAATAATTTAAATGAATAAACTAGGACCAACTTTAACCAGCCTCCATGTGCAGCAGTATTCTATTTAAAAGCCTATAATCACTGTCCCAGACCAACAGCATGATATATGTATAGGAGCTGGCTCACATTTACTATCATTCAAATGCCAGTAATTGGCTTCTCCTTCTTGCTTATTCATCCTCTATATAGGCAGTTATGGTTTCATATGCAGAGGAGTTGAGGAGGAACGAGGAAAAAGGGAAGAAAAGGGAGTGGTAGATGAGGGGAAAAATTGCTTGTGCACTGACACTGTGGGGCAGCAAGTGTTCCACTGACTATGCAAATGGGATCTGACTGTGTATGAAGAATATAGCTGTCTATGCGCATGCGTGTGGGCGTGTATGTATACTTAACACACCTGTGAATGGGACAGATACACAGGCCTGGAGAAGACGATCCACTCCACTACCTTGCTGCAGGGCGGTGTGGTCAGAGAACCGGTGTATCTGTAATAACTGTCCACCGACGATGGCAACAGATCCCTCAGGATGAACGACCTGAGGTTGGTCTCCTTTTCTGGGTGGAGCATGGGATCAAAACTTGTCAGTAAATAAGACTTGAAAAGGACAGACATGTGTACAGCAACAAATATACATCATTCCCTTTGTAATGTTCTGCAAAAACCCTGCATGTCTTTAGTTACATTTACAGTGCACCAACATTTACAAGGTCATTTCATTTCCCTCTCCCTGCGGCACTTTACCAACCTGAAACCTCCACTAGTGGAATCAGGGTGGCAGCAGTTAAAAGCCTCACCGCTTGTTATCACTCTGGCCAGATCTCTGTACTCAGATGGGAAAGGAGCATAGGGAGGGGAGGCTGATAAAATGGCCAGCTCTGACAGCTGATCTGTGGCTGGGTGGTAGCGCGCTCTGCTTCGTGCAACAACTGTGGCATGGGACACGGGGATTAAGGCAGATCCACATGATTACCAGATCTACCAGATTTGCTCTGTCCTCTGTAATCAGAACCGCACAGTGCCATATAAAATAATAACAAGAAGGACTCGGTTTGTGATCCAGAGGAAAATTCTTTTATCTCCTGCAAATATGCCTGTGGCTTATACAAGCAGCCTTGTGCTTCCTTTGAATTATGTTAAAAACCCAAATTAAGATGAATTTGTGTCAAACCTCACACTGCTCATGACTTTATCTAAAAAGAAACAGAGGTTTAGGGTGTGGTTTTCATTAGATAGGACGACTGAGGCACTGTTAACCTCGCCAACCTCTAATTCAGTATTCACAGCCTTTCTTCTCCCTGTCTTCAGAGATTGTACGTGCCCTATCGCTCATGGGCCGCTGCGATGCTGATGGATGGACGACTGTGGGATAACGAGCTAGTGGAAAACCAACCACCCTAACGTGGTGGAGGAGGCGAGGAGCATTTAGCAGCCAGCGAGAAGAGAGTCCAAAATCCACCACACCCACACCGAGTTCGATTTCAGCTGGGAGATGAGAGATACTGTGGTGTTAGCACGAACACCGAGTTCAGCCACCTTTGAAAGCTGATAAATATTCATAAAATAATCCAGTATAGCCAACATGTTTGGCAACCTGCCTTTATCAAGGTTATATAACAAAAGAAAACACATGAAATGACCTCTCAGCTGAAAACAGACCAATCAGAAAATACACCTTTTTTTTATTGCAATTACTTCACTGTGTGCAGAATTACACTGAACAAAACGACCCATTTTCTGATTCTGAAGAGGATTCAATTGTGTTTTTTCTTTTGTGTTGGTCCTTTCCTGCTCAATCATAAAGTTACAAAAGTTTTGTTTTCCAGGGCTCAAAAAAAAAAAGAAAGAAAAAAAGTCATAACCCCGTCAAGTGCATACTGCACAGTTTAAAACGTCCATCCACACAAAGTACAGGGACTGAAATATTGTTTCAAATGACTCAATGAAGCCCAGGACTGGTTGTGTGAAATCACCACAGGTACAAAGCAATTATGCTATGCTTCTGTATATCTTCATCCATTTACATGCCCTTGTCAGTGCATGATTATGCTCACATAAAGACTGTCAGCAGCAGGTTGTAAAACAAGTCATACGTGTCTGTGTAAACGGAGCTGCTGTGTCTCTAGCTGTAGTAAAAGATTACATGGTCATGCTAAAACATCTGCTCACAGCCTGCGTAAGTCATGCATGCAGTGAAGTCAGCACTGCAGCAGTAATTTATGACGATACGTCATGAAGAATGGTGCCACAAGACATTTGGCATGACATTTTTTTGCCTGTCACCTTCACCCTGACGGTGGTCTGCACAGCAGACACAACTGATCCGCATATGCAATTTGGCACAGTTTTTAACCTAACCTGCATGTCTTTAGACTGTGGGAGGAAGGCAGAGAAGTCAGAGAAAAGGCAGGCTCAGGGAGAACATGCAAATTGTACACAGAGAGACCCTAGTCAACAGCAAGGTTTGAACCCTGCTGTGAGGTGACAGTGCTAACCCACTGAACCACTGTACATACAACACAAAACATGAATGGTTTAAATAAGAATAGGAGCCTTTGCAGTGCCTGCAGTCCAGAGGAGCATATATACAGTACATATACAGATTAAAACAGAATGGTGTTTAATTGAGGCTCAGATGTAATTAATAGTTCTGTCTCTGTGAGTGAAGCACCTTGGAGGTCTCCTACAGTGGACAAGCAGGGGAGAGGGGATATCTTGCAAAGTTAAACTCTGCACATATCTCGTGTTTAAGCTAATTTAGGATTAAAGAAAGAAGTCCAACATTGAAGCTGTTGAATGCAGAAACAACAGCCTTTCCTATGTGGAGGCAGGGAGGAGCAACATGTCTGCGCTGCCATGAGAAATTTACCTAGAGGATAAGCCAAACATCAACAGCAGCAAAGTCACAGTAATTTTGTATGGGATTATTGCTTTTTGAATAACCCACATCAATTTAAATCCCACAGTAATATTTCATGTGAAGGAGATTTTGGTATGACAGGAAAAAAAAAAAAACAATTTATACACATACTGTATGCAAATGCATTCACCACATTAATGCTGCAAGATTGTTATATAAGATGCAGAGTTTATAAGGGGCTTAATTTCCCATCACTTACCATGATGCACTACTCCCTTCAGTCCCTGGATGATTGGATCCACAGCTGGATTGTCCTTTTGTCCTACCTGCAGGAAAAGTCCAGAGACAACAGATTACTAAGGGATTACAAAATTAGAATAATAATCTAAAGCTATGACTAAAGATGATCAGTATGAATCAAAATACACAATATGGGCAACATCTCTACAATATAATCTCTCAGTATCTAATACCATCTATTAATGTGAGGTTTGTGATATTACATTGTGGTAGGATTTTGTACTGTTTTGTATTAGATTTCAGTCCAGCTACATGCTTGTATTGTAATGTGTATTTCTGCTCCAACAAATGACATTTACTCTACCATATGCCTTGATTAGTACTATTTAATGCATCTTTTAAAATTATTACATTTTAACTTGTAGTATGATGCCACCCTATTTCCCATTCATATTGAAATATGTTACACCCAATACCATGATATTTAAACAGACAAACAAAAATACTATTCAGTTTCTCCTCTCCTTTTAATCTGTTAACTTTTATTGTGCTTTTGAGGCTTAGATTTTTATGAGACACTGATTGAACACATGACGACTCCAAAAGCTTCCTCCTGTAGCTGTTCCAGTGTGACGTCCACATCACTGTGAGGCCATTTAGTCGTTAGCTACTAAAACCAGTGATGATTCCCCTGTTTCCTGCTGGGACTACCCTTAATTCTTTGCAATGACTGAAGACTGGCAACTATTTTTCATCCCCACATTATACAATATCCCCAGTGTCCTACTTAGGAGACGAGTGGACGAAAAAAAAACAGTGTTGTGATGTGGGCACCAACATTCCCTTGCTCAACATTAATTCAGGACAGTCAGAGGAGAATAATTGTGTGAACTGAATGCTGAATGCGGATAATGCGCACACCTTAGAGGCCATTAATAGGCCTTTGGGGAGCACAGGAAGGAACTGTCCTCATTGATTAGAAATGGTAAATCTGAGCCAATGTTAGTATGTGTGCCCTCTTAAAAACACTCGCACTGTAAATCGCTACTCAGCGGATTGTGTATGGTGGTGCTAATTGCATTAAGCAATAGGGCTGTCAGGCCCCTAGCGGAGGCATTTAGGTCCCCGTACACGCGGTTCATCAATGTCTGGGAGTAGACCTACATTACAAACACCTGCGTCCCCATTCAAGCCTCCCTCTGCCTGAGCGCTGACCCTTGCCCACATACTATTAAGCTAAATGTTAGCACGCATTGATCACCTGCCATCAATAGCAAAGGTAGTGCTAATAGAAATTAAGACTGTTAGACACAGAGGCTCCTTGAAGTTGTCAGTGGTGTATGCTTCTTCACAGTTCATAAATGGTGTTTTGTTGGGGTTTGTTTTTCCCCACAGTTAAAAATCAGGACCAGTCTTGTCCACTAAGAGCTTATGTGTACAGACCCCTCAGGGGGACATTTGTAGAATCTCAGTGAGTAATCTGCAGTGTTCCACAGAACAATAAAAATAATCAGGTGAAGAGAAAATTTCCTACACAACACAGGTGCCGATGATAATTTGATAAATATTTAGTCATAAAAAAAAGTTACTCGTCTTTTTTTTAATAACTGGACTAATAAAATTCCAACTATTCAGCATCATCTTACGAGTACCTCACCCTTTTACTATCATGTTTGGTTTGTGTGGATATTTCCGCACCACTGTATGCTTTAGTATTTTCCTCATGGTTGTCAAATTTCTATTTATTCTCTCATTACATTTAGTACCTCATCTTCCTGATTTTGTACAATTTTCTATTGGCATTAAGCACTATTCATGTTAATAAATTATATTATAAGCCAAAGTAAAAGGCTTTTTTTCTATTAACATCTTCTGTTCTCCCTGTGCCTGTCTGATTCCTTTGGGTACTTGGGTTTCTTCCCGCAGCCCAAAGACATGCAGGTTAGATTAATTGGTGACTTTAAATTGCCCGTAGGTGTGAATGCTTGTCTGCCTCTGTGTCAGCCCTGTGACAGACTGGCGACCCGACTAGGGTGTACTCCACCTTTTGCCCACTGTCAGATGGGATTAGCTCCTGCTCCCTCACATCCCTACAGGATAGGCAGTGTAGAAAATTGATGGATCGTTTAGACATGAACATAGTATGTTTAAACAAGAGTAAACCATGCTAAACTTGTATACTTTGACACAGTGCTCTGACATCAGCATGCTAATATGCCCAAAATAATTATATTAACATGCTGATGTCAAGCAGGTATGTTTAAACCAAGATGGTGGACACTGTCATGTGCTAGCATGCCAACATTGACTAGTTAGCACTGAACACAAAGAGCCCTATTTTCAGGATCCACAGCATCTGATCAAGATGTATTGGCGCAAGTGGTGTTTGGGCGTGCCCGTGTTCATTTCAGTAATCTGACGACGAGAAACAGTTAAAGTGTACTGGCAGACTTGCCTGGTTGGATGTCAGTAAGATTTTCCACTGAGGAAATGGATCTGCTCGTGCACGAGGTGAAGGCACACAATCACAAATCAAAAGGGTATTATAAATACATAAGTACTGATGTGCACAACACTCAACACACTGTCATCTTTTTGTTTAAGTTTTGCATGTCCTGCACAACACGCCCCAGGGTATAACCACCACAGTGCACACACCTAGACATCACAACATGGTCAAAGCTCCCATTAGCCAGCAACGATGATTTGACTGTTGACCACAGACCTGGTTATTGCTGGTCAGTGGTGCAATCGCTCTGTGTGCCCTCATATTACTAACGCACCCAAAATTTAGCTGGACACGCCCCATTTTCATCCAGACACACATGCTGGCATGAAGCCGACAGACTGCTGCTTGATAACAAGGCATAATGATGTGCAGGTCATGAAAATAATAATTGCATAGGTAGGGAATTAGGAAACACAGACACGCTACCCGAACCGCATGCCATGCGTTTGTTGCAAGACAGGGCCCAAAGTATAGCTGATGACATTGTAAATAGCTTTAGATATCTAGTCAAGTATTAGAACAAACATTTCCCCTTATGATGGCACTTCATGAAAAGTCAGGAGCTCAAAGTAATTATAACTCAACCTAAGGTGGGCAACAATGTGCGTCTCAAATTTCATGGCAATCCATGTGACAGTCATTGATATATTTTGCTTTGGACCAAAGTCAGAGTGACCAACAGACAGACCGTGCAGGCTCTAGACACATGCTGCTAGCATGGATAACAACGTCTATGTTCTGTTAGTGTATACACATAGTCTAGGTTTGCTTCAGATTGTATTTTCCTTGACCTTCAGACCTGGTGATACTTTACCTCAAAGAAGACTGCCATTGCAGCAATGATGCGTCTTTCCTTGATGGCAGCGCTGAGGCTGTCAAAGTCATCTGAATTGTAAAGGTAGATCTGCATCTGGGATGGGAAACAGAGCATAAACAGCTTGAGGAGTGGACAAGGAGAATGAACAGTCCTGTCATCAATCACTTGGACACACCGCTGAGGAGCTGATGAAAAGCTGTTTTGAGGGGCAGAAAAGGGGGTGTATTTATCACTCCCATAAATCTCCCATAATTTGTGTCATTTCTTTTTGTGTGCTGCCACTCCTGGAGGGTGCTAGAGAAATACAGTATCCCATTCCTAAGGGCAACTGTCCTCACAGAAACAATCAAGAGCAGAGAGGAGGAACTTGAGGAATGTGCTCTTTTTCTGTGGCAAGATCTAACAGAATGGTGTGCTTCTAATCACTGCACTTCAATTACTCTATATCGTCCATAACATTGCTTCTGATTTCTCAACAAAGCTTAGGATGCATGCGAATAATCCACAAACACAGAATATGTCACATAACTGTCATGGCTCTGGTTTTCTATATACAGTATATACATTTGGAAAAAAAAAACATTCCTATCATTTCAAAGCAGACATGTTATGGTAGTGCTGATTAAAATAAGCACAAATGATTTTTTAAAGTAGCAATTGGAGCTGTCCATCATCTCAGTTTCTCAAGCCTTTTTTAAAGTGAAAAACCCTTTCATGTCACTGAACTAAGTTAATTGGCAATAAGAAAAATGATCCTAGATGTTGGTTTAATTAAAGGGTATGTTTGCCTTTTTCTTTGACAAGGGAAACTTACAAGAAACCCCCAGCTACAATTAGCTGTGCTGACAACAGATGCAAAAAGCCAAAGTAACTAAACATATAAATAAGAATAAATCCATTAATGTGTACCGCAGGCCTAAAACAGGTACAAAATGACTCTATCCAGATAAGTTAATCAGTTTCCTTCAGAGTTCCTTTAACTGCAGCCTTTAATAGAACTAATTTGTTGTGTGAGAACTCAGCAAGAAAGAGCACTGGCCATTCATCACCCTTCAGATGTTATTAACTACATTACCCAATTAAGCTGGCCCCCTTAGGCTTCATTTACTCACTGAGATTGGCTCATGTGACCCGCTCTTGTTAACAGCACACTTTGGAAAATGTGATATTCAATTATCAGACACTTTCATAGTAGCCAATAAAAATAAATGTTGCCAAAAACGATTTGAATCACTTGACTGCATGCTTTATTTTACTGCATGTTTTTGAGATGTGACCCAAAACCCCTCAATGGACTAAACTTCATCCACAGATATCTCTGAAAGCAGATGATTTTAGGAAGGACAGACAGGTGGTCTGACCAGTCTTTAAACTGTCTTCACATATCCAGACACATTCATACATGTCTGTTTTTGTCAGTATAAAGTACTGTACAGAGAAATATGTAAAGCCATGAATGACAGCTCGCGAGTCACCAGTGGGAACAGGTGCAAGCTATAGCACAAGACAACAAAACAATATGTGAGCTTTATAATTTACCTCCGGTTTTCTCTGGAGGGCAGACAGCCCATGCTGCCCATATCTCCTGAACTATGCTTTAGTCTAAATTCAGTTTATATCCCTCAATATTTTTTCCCCGGGACAAAGTGAGTACAAACACAAGCGCTGGAAGCTGCTCTGCATTCCCAAGTTCCACTTATGCACAAACAGGTGAAAAACAAAGTCATGTTTGGCATGATTTCCCAAGACAGCCAGATACTGTAACAAGACAAGAAAACTACAACAAATACGTTTTTGGGTGGAGAGATCTTGGATTTATCACAAAAACACAAACATATTTTTCCCTTTCTTTATTCTTTACCACAACTGTGCTACCACATCATTTTATTGTTAACAGTTAAATGCCTTTATTCAATCATTGTATGATTTGCTCACCACATCATTTTATTGTTAACAGTTAAATGCCTTTATTCAATCATAGTACGATTTGCTCACTCCAATCACACATAACCATCTACCTTGTTTGTTTACTTGAGCATTTACAAAGTGCTAGAGCACTCACTGTCAAGTAAATTTGTGTGGTGGCTGCTTTTGCACAAATACACAAAACATGATATTTCACATTACAAATTACTGACAGAGAACTTAATGGGATAGATAGACTACATGTCAGTGAACAGCTATACTGCAATTATTATCCATGTACATTTAAAACTACAGTTCACTAAAAGATCCCCGTTTATTGGCTTTTGCCCATTTTCATACTGGCTGGTAATACCACATAATACCATGGAATTAAACAAATACCTGGTAAATTTACATTAACAGAGGTTCCAGTGTTAAAGCCAACTTTACCGCCAGTGGAATAAACTGTAAATATAACTATATACATAACACTGCTGCCACAACATGCATGTGTACATAAATGTAAATACTGTTCTTTTTTCTTCTCCTATTCTCTCTTCTGTTTTAAATGCACATATTTTCCTTTTTCTCCTGCTAACCTACAAGCACATTTGAGAGCCTGTGTACTGGAGACATATTCCTTGTGTGATTAAACATACTTGGCCTAATAAGTGTGATTCCGATACCGATTCTCATTACAGCTGTTTAATGTAAACAGCCTGGTGCCGTTTGTCTCCTGCCATGATGGTTCCTTATAAAAACGTATTCACTATGTTGATCATGTGTTATCACTGTTATAATAGCTCGTTAGTCAGAAAAAGATTCTTTTACTGCTCAACAGAAAGGGCTTGATCTATGGTGTCCCTTAGTGCTCAACACCACAGTTTATGAAAATGCATGCATATAGACAGAACATAAGAAAATAAAAACTGTTTCCACTTCAATTCTAAGAGCAGGATTCAGATATTATTACAGAAGAATTTCCTATAAACTTAGCACCGGCCTCAAGGGCAACGCACACAGGCAGCATGTGATGCGCATCTAAACACCTGCACCCATTATTTCAATGAAAGCCCACACACTGCCAATGTCAATGCGTCAGGATACGCTATTGTCCTATTTGCCTGACATCAATTCGCGAGGGGGGGGTCAAAATATTGTACCCGCCCATTTCAGTAGTCCTGCACTAAATTTGCACCATTACGGGTGTCATGTGACGGGCGTCTCATGACGCACCATCCCTAGTGTGCAGTGCCCTTTACTAGCCCCCAAAGTCATTAATCGTTCATTTTCCAACACCACTGATGGGCTGTTGACTTCAGTACCTCCACGCTCCACCAATCACAGCAACAGGATTTTGTTGTGGTTTTGTCAGTTTTCCTATTTAGCTATGCTGTATTGGCTTGTATTTTTGTGTTTGCAGAACTTTTTATGTTATAAAGCTGATGGCTGTTTCTCAGTTATCAATGCTGCATATGTGAGGTTGTTAAGCAGCTGTGTGTTGAGCTATTAGAACCACCATATCCATCTCCAACAGTCTGGACACTTACTGTATACTCTTAAGTCAACTTTCTGTTGCAGAGATGCTTTTAGTGCCACTGGAACTTTTCTCTCTGAAGTGTACTGTACTGTACAACCACTAACTGTTCATTCCCTTCCTGAGGTGTGATTTGTAATGCATGTATAATTAATCTAGCCTTCGTGACACTCATATATTATTAGAAAAGATCTCCCTATGGTACCCAGAGGCAGAAATGGAAAAAAAAAAAAGTTTCATTTTTCATTGTGCTGTTTGAGCGAACAGGTGGTCCATCTATCGATTTCCCCACTTCACTCCGGTGAAAAAGACTGTGGCTGGATTAATGTCAAGCTCAGGAGCCACAGGCCAAGCACAGTTTTATTTTTACATGACCATGTTACACAGGTAATGCAGCACCATAACACAACTCACTGAATTTGTTTCTCTACCTCCTGAACCCATGTTAGCTTGAATTTTCAAGGTTTTAAGCAGATGGGATGAACATTTTAGAGTTTTATGTTTTCCCTATTGTAAGAGTAAATGCTTTGTGTTACAGGTGACTCGGGGCTGACTGTGACTCATTTGGAGTGCAGAGATAATTAGACAGCAGACTGGAAAACAGTCCGTTTAAAAGAGACAAACTCTGAATCTCAACCTCCAAGGTCATGCTGCATAACTCTTGAAGAACAAAAACACAGACAACAAAACAAAAGCCAACCTAGGCTATAAAAGATCACTGGCTACATCAAACATTAAATACAAACATGCAGAGTTTTGCTGCACCTGTGGTATCAGATCCAATCTCAAATACATCAAATTCTGTCAAGGCATAAATGTGAAAAATGAAAGTGCCACATCTTACAGGGTGGAACAGTTAAATGGCCAAAGGCTAGATCCAACATAACCATATCCCCCTTTGACCATTCATTATTTGATTTCACGCTTTCACATGCTTGATACAAGTAGCCTGACTTACTGATACAAAGGAATAATATACTCGGTGCTGTTCCTGAGTATGTGGTGCACAATGTACATATACAGTACATAGTTAACAGGAAGTGTTTTCGCTTTTCTGTGGATAGACTATTCCTTGTTGTACTCGCATCAGAAAAGGTCAAGACTACTGTAGTTCCCATGAGAAAATGACTGTTGCGTCCTATGAGTGGCTGTCTTCTGTTGGCCCTGTCCTATTTTTTTCAAACCTCATTTCCCATCATACTCTATGTCAAGGCAGTTCTATCTGGGCTACATGTTGTTGTCATATGAGATAACAGGATAAATGGTACAAGGCTAACTGTCCTTCAAGTTGTGAAGAATAAACCAGATGTCCTCTGCATCCAAATGGCAGATCCTCATTTATGATTACTGACATGCGTTCAATAGCATCACGCTTAAAGTGCCAGTACATCTACAAATACAGAAAAAAGAGTATCATCCTTTTAAATGTGCTTAAATCCACAACAAAGAGCAATGCAAAAACCGTGGTTTGTACACAAAGACATGCTAAGCTACATACTGTATTATACGTCACATCTATATTGCTATATCTGGAAGGCATAACTCTCTTGTTCTTGCTTAGCCTTTTTTTTTTTCTAAGAGCAGCCCAAACTTATCATTAAAGTGAATTCCATCATCTTTTGTAGAAGCATACCATCAAAGGCACCATATGCACAACAGCTTTATAATGGCTGTATATAATCCGGTGCCCTTTAACACTACGCTGAACACAAGATGTGGCAAAAAATAAATCTAATTATTCAGCCTTTCAGCATCAAAAGCCGTGCCTGCAGAGAGGGCTCTAAAAAGCAGGGCCAAGGAACTAACAAGAGGACTCGAGCTGCATGTTTCAAGATCTGGACATTTGTTTTCATGTATGGCTGTATTTACACTAATTATTTGACAGTATAGGGGCATACAAAAAAAACCCAAAATGTAAAAAGTATGACACATCTGCAAATTCATTTGAGATAATGGATTTGGGCAGCAATGTAAATGATAAAACTTTGCAAGGCACTATTAGCTCATTCTCTGCAGTGGGATTTCAGCTTTAATCCACCCACCAGAATAAATAACACCAAAAGGTTTCAGACATAATATCCCTTATATCTGTGCTACATGTTTGCAATGTCTGTTAGTTTTTCTCTGCCTTCCTTTTATTTCTTACAGTCTATTCTCTTTGTTTTACTGCCTGCTCTTTGCTGTATAGCATTAATGACACTGGAAAATCAGCTGTGACCTTCTGCAAAAACTATTTTACAACCCCAAATCAGAAAACATTGGGACAGTATGTAAAATCCAAACTAAAAAGATTGATTTGTAAATTATCTGTGTCCTGTATTACACTGAAAACAATACAGCAGCACATTATTTGATGTGATACCTCCACAATTTCATTCTTTGTTCAAAATAAACACTCATTTCAATTCCGACACCTGCAACACATTCCAAAAAAAGTTGGGACGGTTGCATTTCAGGGCCAGTAATGAGGTAAAACAATGAAATGATGATTCCATTTGAAATAGGTGACGTCAACAGGTGATTGCAATCATGATTTGGTACAAAAGTGGCTTCCAGGAAATGCCGAGCCCTTTAGGAGCAAAGATGGGCTGAAGGTCGCTGGTTTGCCAACATGTGTGAGAAAATTATTGAAATGTTTAAACCAATGTTCCTCGAGGAAAGTTGGGAGGGGATTTGGCTATGTCACCCTCTATGGTGCATAACATAATTAAGGAATCTGGAGGGACTTCAGTGCGTAAAGGACAAGGGCGCAAGCCTAAGCTGGATCACTGTGCTCTCTGATCCCTCAGACAGCACTGCATCAAGAATAGTCACTCTTCTATAAGCAATATAACCACATGGGCTCAGGATTACTTTAGCACACCTGTACCAGGTGCTACAATACATAGTTACATCCATAAATGCCGCTTAAAACTGTGCTGTGCCAAAAGGAAGCACTATGTCAACAGTGGACAGAAGCACAGTTGACTGCTCTGGGCTCAGAGGCATCTGGGATGGACCATCACACAGTGGAAACGTGTACTGTGGTCAGACAAATCAGTATTTCAGGTCTTTTTGGAAGTGTAAATCACTGACAACCTGCAGAACTTAAGAATTTACAACAAGACATTCAGCCTTAAAGGTTTTAAAGAGCTACTCCAGCTTTGTACTTTTTATTATACTGTGTTGTACTTTCATAAAAGAACTCAAAAAGACTGTTCAAACACTGAGTCCTACACTTCCTGTGCTTGAATGCTTTTAGAAGACCATCCCCGTTTGGAAAATTCCCACATTTTAACTTTCAAACTCCACAGCTCCATTTTGCTTTCTGTTCTATATATATGTAGTCTCCAAGCATCATCAGGACTATTTTCGCTTAGGGGGAAATTTCTAGTAAAGTGACCTTAATGTGTGGAAGTTAAAAACTAAAAGTCCAAAAAGTTCTTTAGGAAGCCGTCAATCAAGCTGGCCCAAAGTTTAAAATGATCTCATGCAACTAGAAATGATGCAAGTCTGAAAATATTTTCTCTTTTATTAGGAGGCACACACATCCGTACATTTTTTTTGCAGGTGCTGGGTAACAGTAAGCTGCACAGAATGATGGAACTACCTAGTTAGTCACTGCTACTTCTATAAGCTGCGTACATGATCACCCAATCATGCATAACACTGCTGGCCTCAATCTGTTAAAGCGATGGCTTTCTGTCATTTAGACCTACATCAATCAGCCACAACATTATGACCACTATCAGGTAAAGTGAATAACATGATCTTGTTACAGAGGCCCCTGTCAGTGTGTGGGATATATTAGGCAGCTGGTGAATGGTCAGTTCTCAATGTTGATGTGTTGGAAGCAGGAAAAAGAGACGAGCTAAGGATCTGAGTGACTTTGACAAGGGCCAAACTGTGATGGCTGACAACTGGGTCAGAGCATCTCCCACACTGCAGGTCTTGTTGGGTATTCCTGGTCTGCAGTGGTCAGTACCTACCAACAGTGTCTAAGCAAGGACAAACAGTGAACCAGTGGCAGGGTCATGGACACCCAAGGCTCACTGAAGATGAGGTTGGTCTACTGTTTATTAAATTTTTAAATTCCATTAGTACTTTTCAAAAGATTTGATGAAGTTTGAATCTTTGTTAAATTTGTTAATAAGAAATGCTGCACATTGGCCTCTATGAAGAGACACATTCGCAGGCTATAGTGGTGGTATCACACCTAGAGTGGTGATGCTGTTGAATTTGTCTAAAGAATCATGTCTAACTTGTCCTCATGACAACAGTTTCCACTCATTTCACATATTTTTAATCACTGAATGATGGACAAATTGGTGCTCTTCCTGACAGTATGGAAGCAAACAGATTCACACAAGATGTGCTATGAGCCGCAGAGTGACAAGCAACTGCCGCATTCATAATTTTATGGCTGATCGGCAGGAGCATTGATAGACAAAGCTCTTCTGGGGCACAGGCTCCCATTTTTCAAATCACAATTTTTTTTTTCTTGAATGTTTACTGTATGAATGAAATGTGCTATAAACTTCCCATGCTTCGCCCACTATTCCACTGCCATACTGCTGCCACTGAAACAACTACTGGTAAAGGTAAAAATAGAACAATATTATTCTTTATGAAATATTGATTTCAACATACATTAAGAACATTCTCAACATGTTTTTAGGTCTGGCCCTGTATTGCACATTTTTTGCATTCTTCTGCATTTCACAATATTATAATTTGATTGTCTAGCAGCCCCAGTTTGAGTTGTCATATTTAAACTCAAGTTAATCTATCAACAAATAATTTGAAGAGAAACACAATCTAATCATTTTTTGTAACTCATAAGGCCACATAACATATCGATGCTCCAATTACTTCAAAACTGTGTTGTGCAATAGATTGCTGATGGTCCTGTCACTCCCTCTCCCTGTTCCACTATGCTCTACTATGATCTGTTACCCGCTGCCGAGCTCTCCGGATATTTGTCATTGTGAAATTACAATAAAGGAGAATGCAACAAAACGGACTGATTCACAGCAGAAATAACTGAAAACTTCTGATTGGTTAGAGAGGTCCATTCTGCCCAAAACTTTTAAAAGTTAATATCGCTGCATTGCTGTCCAATGACTCTGGGTTACAGGAGGCCTCAACAGCACCTCTGCAGGTTTTGGAGCATATTTCGACATCTAAAATGTTTGAAAAAGGTACATACTGCAGCTTTAAGGAAACTTCTACTTTGCATTAATTTGAATTTTTAGTGAGTCCATTTCAGGATTCTCAGATTTGCTCAAATTATTTCTGACAACTTGTCCTCTCAATGTAGTAACAGGAGAATAAAAAATAAAAAAAAGTTTTTATCCAGTGGTCTGAACAATCTTCAGTCCACTGGAGTTTCTTGGGGATAAGCTGAAACTGAATTTTAGAAGCATCAATATGCTGCCTCAAACTCTGCACCAACTCTGTAACACTATTGAGCTTGTGAAATTTAAAAAAACAACAACTGCAGAATGTTTCAAGCACTACTGAATCCATGCCACAAAGAACTCAGCCAAATCTACAAGCAAAAGTGCATCTTTACTTTCATTTAGGTGTTTAATGGCCATTCACATGCTAGGCTATGTCAGTGCCAATAATTACATATTTATTTGACCAGCAAGATTTGATTTCACCACATTAGGAAGGGTATCAATTTATAATTCTCTATAGTATATAAAACTCATCTAAACACTACAGTGACTTGACAAAACTTCTACACTCAGTATTGACCCTTGATGCCCCATATTGCACATCTATCCGAGTGTATTGTAGCAACAAGATGTTTTACCTCTACAGGGAACTTCCTGCCATTGATGCTGTGTTCAGAACCTGCTGATCCATTACTCTGGCCCCAGTGAAACTCCATCTTCTCAGCCTTAAAACGGCCAGGCAGTCCAGCACCTCTTACGAAGTAGTCATCCTTCAGGAGAACAGCAACTGGAGACAAAAAGGGGTTAAAAAATTAAAAAGACAGACTCAAAGAAAGGAGGAAAATTAAGTACACTCACACAACTGCTCAAAAATAGAGACAATTAGTCGTCAAAGCACTGATTCTACAGGAGCTCAGAGCCGCAGTGGCTCATTTCTCTTTTTTTTCCCTCCATGCTTATTATCTCAAGATCACAACTTCATTCTTATTATCTAAAATCTCATTGTTTTTTTTTTCTTGCAATGACAGCTCAATTATCTCATTATCTAAAAATAACACGAATTCTGTAGCATTCATATTCATTCTAATAGCTTTTGAACCTCAGAGGATGCATCTTATCTCAAGACGTCAACTATAATCAGAATGCTGTCCATAACAAAGCGACATAGAGCTGTTGCCAGGCGTGATATTAGTCAGTCTGTACTAAAAGGTTTGATAGAATAACTCTGATTTGTTTTAATCTAAGTGTGAGCCGAGCAAACTTTGCATTTCCTTTTCTACATCAACTTTTTTGATGAAACTGGGGGCTAATTAAGCTGCCTTCAATGCAGATGTGGTTTATTTTCAAACTATCACACAGCAAAAACTATTTTTAACTGACCATTGTGATTTTATATTTTTATTAAGTTTAAAGGGCCAAGAAGCTGTCAAATCCCAAATCACTGGCACTGAGGAAAGTGAGAGTTGCAAGTGGGTAATTTTGCTATCTGGCACCCACACAATCTGTTTTGCTTCTTTAAGTTCCCTCTATGCAGGAAATCATTTCACCCCTGGATACCAAGTCAGGGGTGTGGGCACATTCACAATGATGCCACTGATGTACCCTTCAGAGGGAGCACAGATCAGCTTCCTCCTGCAGCCTTCACATTCCATCGGCCGACTGTAGAAAGCAGTCATGAACAGCTTCAAACAAAGTCGTCCTCTCTTTAACTTGCTGTATGGTTTGCTGGAAAGGTACAGCCTAATGGTATTCACCTGCTCTGTGATCTTCTTCCACCTGTTAGTTTCTTGCAAGGTTGTAATGCCATTCCTTCTGCCTGCAAAACCGCAGGGATTTTTCCATTTTCTCTCATGCAAGATGATTACCAGTTTCTGCACTGCAGAATGTTTTTAGATAATTTTATCAGAAAAATAAATGACTTTTTCCATGTAGGAACAATATTATTTACGAACATTTTTGAATAGTACTTACATTAACCAAGTTTTATTCGCAATAACACATGAATACGACTTTATTATGACTTTTGCCGGATCATTTTGTTTCTAAATATCATTGTAAGAAAAGATCTATCCAATTTCTAGGCCCTTCAGATCCCCAAGTAGACTGTGATGTAAATTTAACATCATTTTGTGCAATTTAGTATAATTTAATGTTATATGTGCCTTCTAACTTGGCTCACTAGCCTCAGATCTCTCCGACTATAAATTTAAAGTGGAAATTAGTTAATTTTATTTCTGGGAGCACAGCCACTGAATACTGATGGCCATGGTGTTGGTAGCAAATTTAAATCTTAATATTAAAAATTGCATATTGATTTAGTTTATCCTGTGGAGTGTTCATTTTCCTTATGAGCTTGATATTTCTATTAGGTTATTTCCATACTGCAGGATGCAGTTAGGTTTGCAGAGATATTCAATCTAGATCTTAACCACCTATCCGAGACTTGAAATTCAGGGAGTGAAGGACTATAAATACTTCTGCACTGAGTGAGAAATATTTCCGTAAAATTAAACTCTGCAGACACGAGCCATCAATTAACCCCAACAATGACATATCCAGTTTCTTCAAAATGCCTGATTTCAGAGAAGAAAAATATCAGTTACCAGCTTGACCACCATCTAATTTTGAAACTCTGCAGTGGCTTCTGAGTGTGGTTTTAATGATCAAATACATTTTTGAAATTCATGGCAGACCATGTAATCCTCCTCCTAAAGTCAAAACATGGACGTTATTGCCATTATAAGGCTTTTAATGTGCCACCAGCAATTTGCATTCACTTTAAAAGTTCAGTCCGAAGCCAAATTTTGTAAATGTGTCATGTAAGGGTGAGTTGAAGCTGTGTTAGTTTTCCATGGCAAAAACCATCATGACAAGGCAGATTAAAAACCTTTTGATGCCCTGACTAAAGGTTGCATGCAAGTAAAATAACCCTTTACCATGTCTACATTTGATTTCATTAGCCAGACTGGATACAACGCTCTGTTGGCTGATCCCACCCTGTTACAGAGGGATTTAGTCCGTCTCTCTTTTAATCATCACAAGGCAAACCAAGAGGATGAGCATGTACAAGCAAACACAGACTGTCAGTAAGCACAGATGACATGATGAACAAGCTGTGAAGAGAGAATGGATGAAATCAAGGCAACAAAGACAGATCTTTGTTTGATGGACAGCAGGAAGAACTTTGAAGAAACCATACAAGATCCAGAGAAAAAGGAGGAACAAGGCAAGAGATCTGACGAGGAGAACCTTGTGTGATGAGGGCTGAGCAGAGTCCCTGTTGTGAGGTGATAAAGAATCTGCCAGCAGTATTAATGTGCCAGTGCTGCTTAAGCTGATGGCCCACAGCATGAAGGAAAGCATCTTAAGATGCAGGAACTGTCCAAGACTGAAAGCATTAGGTCAAAGTGAAAACCAGTCTGCACAGGGAAGAGCTACCCATGGTCATAACTGTAAAACTCATTTGCAAAGACACAAAACATTTACAGAGATGGTAATAAATCCTTGCTACTCCTGTTGTTGAAGTAGCATAATCCGGTGTGCAACAAGTCTAGGAAAGGGGTTGTTGGCTGGTCCTGAGAGTTTCATTAGAAATGCAGCCTCTGGTGTGTTTGAACCCTCCAACAGCAGAGCAGGAATTAGAAGCTAAGCCAAAAAGACCTTGAATCACAGCCTGTGAAAGAAGGGGAGTGTGTGTGAAAGTAAATCCTTGATCAATGCAAATGTCTCTGGGGCCTTCCGATTCCTCATGAATGTAGTTGAGAATTGTTTGAAATTTTACTGAGAAATGTTTTTGTTGAGGAACGCTGTTTGAATAGCGCCCAATCAGCTCGATCTCAAAGAGGGGCAAGGCACAAGGGAATGCTGGGAAATCAATCACAATGAACTTTTAGATCTATTCACTCAGGTTTTAATTACAGTATTGACTTTTACTGTAAACAGTATAAAAGGATGTTGAAGCCCCTCTGTGCAGCATTTGAACATCTCTACTTTAGCACGCCCCTAGTGGCAGCCTCAAAAAACAACACTAAATATCGAGCTCCATGGAGCACTCTTACCGTGTCACCACCAATGACATATACAACGGACATGGCATCATCATTTCCCCTCCACTATGCAGAATGAAGCCAAAAATTATGGCAACCGTCGTATTCACAATATGACGGTTGCCATCTTGCTTTTGAAACAACCAGAAGTAGAGAAACCACAGCAAAACTGTCAAATCAACCAAAACACAACTCTTTTTATATCATAAAAATAACTTATTAAAAACAAACTTACCAGAAAAATGACCACTTGTACTGACACCAGCCTGAAAAATGTATCTGATGTGTACTTTGGGTTTTTAGTTTGGCTCATGTCCATCCACTAACATGGAGGCAGTGGGATTTATGACCTATACAGCAACCAGCCACCAGGGGCAATCACATCCCATTGGCTTCACTTTGGGGAGCTCTTAGGCTGTCCTTAAGTTTACAGTCGATAACCGCAGATCACAGCACTGTCGGTCAGAGTCAGTCATACTGGACAGCAGCAGGGGAAATTGTACCAACATCTGGTTCATCCAACATCACTAGCAGTCAGCACCAGAGCCAAAATCATTACAGCAAACAAAAACAAGTTGTGCTGCTCTGACTCCCACTACTAAAAGCCCTCTCTTTCTAGTACAGCTAGTTTTGTAGTTTGGAAACTTTTGTTTCTAAAGTTTATGACCATAGTTGACAGCGGTCGGGTTTTAGACGGGTGAAGTGTAACAGCTCTCTGCTCAGCTCCAGAGAAACACAGCACTGTGACAACCACACAGTGACACCAATGGGCAATTTAAGTACAATACAAAGGCAAAAGATTGTCCAGGAAGGAGCATGGAAAAAGGTAGACCTGTCAAACACACACACACACACACACACAAAATAAAAAGAATCAAGGATGAAACAAATTGTGATATACAAAACAAAAGAGGACTCTGAAGGCCAGAGATTCTTTTGGAAAACAATGCATCACATTCAAGACTGAAACTGCTTTCCTGGAACACGAAGGACAAACTTCTATTGGGATCAATAACCAACACCATCTTAAAAATAATGTAGTGCACAAACACATCCAAGTTAAAGTGAATCCAATGTAGTATTAAATATAAAGACTGAAGAATGTTTGCACAAAGCTTTTGGCCTACATATAGTAATTCCAAAAGTACTGGCAAACTATAGCTTAATAAACCAAAAAAAAAAAAGGATCCATTATTTAGGACAAACTAATATCAAATCAATGTCACAATACTGTGAGGTGAATTTTCTTCACAGCAAGCCGACCTCTTCTGAACAGCCTTTCATAGTAATGTGGTTCCATTTTCCTGATTTACACAGTTGTACATCTTAGCATTCTAAAATTCCCTCTGTACTGTATGTGCCCAGTATTACAGCCAGCTGTGTTATTTCCATCTTTGTAAATAAGCAGCCTAAAGCATTGCTCGGCCATCCCAGTGGCCTTGGTTGTCATGGAGGCTAACAACTCTCATTATGATCAAATGCAAAAGATGACACTATTCTCTGAGAGAAACAGTGCCAAAAGCAGGGGAGATCAATTTAGGTCAAGGTTTTCCCACCAACAGTCCACAGATTTGCTGAGTGAAAAAAAATGTGGCAATGGTTTGAAGTAGTAGTTAATCAAGTAAGCTTTAAAATGTTTCTGTAAACAAGACATGCAGGCTGCACACAAAGAGGATGGTGAGAGGCGGGAGAGCGGGGAGACAGCACAATGAAAGCAATAATAAGGAAATTTGGGGGATCATTTGGGTTTACAAGAATGACAAAAGACTGATATTATGTGAATGGTATGCGCTTCACTGTATATTAAATTTGTTGAGCGAGTATGTAAAAAAATGCCTCTGTGTGAAACACTGCATAAAAAAACCTGTTTGATTTAAAGATTTTAATATATGTTTAAATGTAATACTCTACATTAGGGGTGGATAACATTGTGGAATAGTAAATGTCCTAGAAACTAAATAATAAATTACATAAATAAATGATGTTTATGGATATAATGACCATATGGATCATCTGTTTTTGCGTAATCTGCTGAATCAAATACCAGGATTAAAGGTACTTCATCGCAATGACAAAAAAAATCTTAGAGACCCAATACTGCCAGCAGGTTTTCCTCCTATCCATACAAGTAGGGGTAAATGTATTAAAGGGATAACCTCTTAAGCTAAAGTGTATGGAAAATGACAAATTTCCATTATCGTACACTATATCATCACCATCATCACACTGTAGTGTTGCACAACACTACAAAGACATTAAATTTGGGATTTTGATTTCACTGTGTATTTACCTGGGGTTTACAGACTCATTTTTTAAATTTCTTAGAATTAAATTTATTTTGTTTTAGAATTACACTTTTAATTCATCATGTGAACCAACCAAATATTATTACCATTTGTAGCGTCGTACCAACTTCTCAGTCATCTGTAAACTCTTTGAATTGACCTAACCTGTACGGAGGGTGATATACAAGTGAAGTAAGACTGATTGAACAACAGACCTGTCTTTCCAGTGTTTTTCATGGTGGTGTGGTTGGAGGACTCGGTGTTGAACTTTTCAAGCACCAACTCCTGGTACTCCTCCGAAACCAGAGCATGTTCATCTGCTATGTCCACAGGTGACTGGTTCTTTGCAGCACATTCTGGGAATAAGGCTGCCCAGCCTCGGGGTCCATGGCTTCCTGCAGAAACAGAAGGCAGAAGAGTTTTTGAAAAAATGCAGACCAGTCCCCAGAAATCACTTTTGTCTAAGGATATTGGTTCTGACACACAAAATGAGAAACACTGTGGTAATGATCATGCCATAGCATCAGCAAAGGCTCAACGTGCCTTTAACAGAAACTGAGAGAAAGAGGACAATGGTTCTTTCATATTAATTTAGCTACAGTGCCCTCTAAAGCCCTCCAACAGCTGGGAAAACAAGTAAACACAATGAAAATTCATCATCTAGCAACAGGCAATTCCAGCATTTATTGTCCATAGATGATATACATATTTAAATGAAGCATATACCTCCAGTGTTACCCTGCACCTACTGATGTAAGTGAGCCTATGGGTACAGAGTTTGTGGGTCTACACTTCTGACAAGTTTAAACTACAAAAAAAGGTTATCAAGTAGAAAACAACAATTCGTGTGCAGTGTGTGCTACAAACTAACGTTCTCTAGAATTCCCATCCAGTCTGCTCTTTTAATCCTCTATCCCCCTACAGTGGCGCTTCGACAAAAGAATAATCCACAACCGACAGGGGTCCTCTTGATCCCTTCTCGGGTACAATGGGCCAATGCAACAACAAAAGCTGAAGGATCAGGGGAACAAGGAAGCAGACATGGATTTGAACCTTTCTGGGCTAACACAATATTCATCATTCCCTTCATTGCAGATACAGGGCAACTTTGCACCAGCTCATGAAAAAGATACAAGAAATAAAACACGCTGGATCAACGGTGGCTTAATGTCTTGCAATGTATAAACAGCTTGTAGCCAAAGACAGTGTGCGCTTAAGTCCCTCAACCAAAACCACTGATTCAAGATTATTTTTGAAATATCCTATTTTTCAGCATGTCAGCCACACAACAACAACAACAACAACAACAACGCAGCAGACAAATCATTTCATCTATCTCTCCAGTGAATATGTCACTAGGTTAGGAAAAAGGTACACTATGAAGTGTTTGAGACTCTTGGAAATGTCTCAGATTTGCCCAATGACTAAAATTTAAGCTCAGTTGTTTTCTAAATAGCACCTGCAAGATTATGGACTGGAGTGCATGTAAACATTGGAAGGGATATGCTGCATTTCTAACTAATGACTGCATTAGCATGCAGGATTAGATTTGTCAGTCACGGCTTTAGACTTGAACTTATGACTGTACACCAGTACAACTCCTATATTTCATACCCTGGAACAGAGCCCATTATAAATGAATTACTAATACGATAAGGCAAGAGAAAGCTGCTTGCCAATCAAGCACACAAAGGATTTATATAAAATGGAAGGTATGTTAACCATTTTGAAATAGTGTTTTTGCACAGAAACATCTATGCAACCTTTATGTAGGAAAAAAACATCAATTATCTTCAATTCCATTTGCCATTGCTGACAAATTAACCATGACCTTGCCATCAACGCGAGAGAAGTCTCAAGCTCAGTTAGACATTTAGCTTCATTGGTTAAAGGTTAAGATACTATGAAGCAATACGGTGTTGGTCCTCAGGCCAGCCTTGCTGACAATCAGCACCTCAATGAATATCAAAGCTGAAGAAGAAACCTGAACATCTAACAAGCTAGAGAGAAGATGGCGTTAGCCTTAGGAGTTGATAGATCAAACCGGGGGTCATATAGAAGACTGAGCAGCATTCTCATGTTGCTTAGCTTCTGCTTAATATGAAACGTTCAGTACAAACTCACAATTATTTGTACAGTAAAGTCACAACAAAATGGGCTGAAGAGGATAGCTCTATTTTTCTAGCACTTTTTTTTTTTTTTTTACTGGTCAAATGACTTGCAGTGAAATAAATCTCCATCTGGAACCACAGAGCTAGATCAATAAACTGGCCAGGACATTAAATTGGTTGATATTAGCTCATTGCAGATAAATCGGTGTATGTACTGTACATGTCAACCAAAAAGTAACAAGAAATTGCAGGACATAGGAAGTGACTTTTGAGGTAAAACTGCAATTAGTTGATTAGTCAACAGATCGGCAATTTTTAAAAACTTTTAAAAATTTAAATGACACCTGAAACTACACAGCTAGAGCTTTGCACCAATATAGCATATATTACAGTAAACCATCAACTTCCCAGTTCAATCCTAATTTCAGTGATGAAGTAAAAAAAATATCATTACCGGACCTCATGGCTGTAGCGTAGGTGTAGCTATATATCAATTTTGGGGACCCATGCCTCCCCCTCCGTTTATTTTGGGTCAATGAAACAACAGTGTCAGTCATTTGCGAGGAGGCGATGGGGGAGACAGCGGGTGTGATGGAACGGATGTTGCACAGGGTGAAAATCGGCTGGTTATAGTGAGACAAATGAAAAAACTAAGTGGAGAGAAAGAGGGATAGTAAGAACGATTTAAGATGGGAGTTTAAAAAAAAACTCCATGGAAGTGTCAAAAGTGTTATGTGCCCCTGTCTGTGCAGCTATCACACTACTGAGTTAAAAAAAACACCTAGAGACAAATCTGTAAATGGAGAAAACAGCAATAAAACTAAAAAGAGTAAACACTTCCAGAGACTTGAAACTGAAACAAGAGACTTGTATGTTCATCTTTCCAAGTTCAAATTACTTGGATCTTTGTTATTGTAAATTGAGTAAAACTATGAAAAAAAAGAAAAAAGGTTCCATTTTTGATTTTTTTTTAATGTTTACACACAGTTTCATCAATTATACTACATAATAAAGTTAAGCAATAAAAATGGAAAGCTCAAGTTCTGCTGAAAAAAAGGATATGCAACACTCCATGAAAGTGTCTCACTAATTTACACTAAAAAAAGCAAGTTATGCTCAGATAGACACTTTTAGCCTTAGGTCTTAAAAATTAAACAATGTATGGATTAATCAATAATTAAAATAATCATTAGTTGCAGCTCTACTCTGAGATAATATCAGTCGGGATAGACGATGTATTAGTCAACCTGACATCAGTTAGACTGCAGTATACTAGTTCACATAAATATTATACACACACACACACACACACACACACACACACACACACACAGACACACACCATTGTATTAAATTTTCATAGTCTCTGAATGTTTCTAGGGCATCACTGGAGCTCATACAGACACTGCGCAGGGTTCGCCGTATATTATACAGTTCTGGGAAATACAGTTGATAAAGTAGCACACAGTTGAGGCAGATGAACAAGCGGTTATTACTTACTTCCATCCCATTTGTGTTTGCAGAAAAAATATATTCCATTTGGCAGAGCCATCTGAAGTACAATGCCTCCAGTTGCTTTCAACATGTACCATTTCTCTAACTGCCAAATTATGGTATGTGGGGTAACAGCATTAAATAAATTTTAAAAAAAAAATCTCATTCTTCATTGGGAAATTTCAAGCTGCATTTTCTTGCTTTTTATCTTTTTCCTCTTGAGTAAATTATGGCAAACTACAAAAACCTTTTCAGATGTTTCTGAAATGTATAGGGTTTCACAAAACTTGACTCACATATCTGAGAACAAATTCTATAGGTCAGCTATGTGCAGGCAGATCAGATGTTGACTCTGAACAAGTTACAAAGGAAACAGTTGGAGGCTTACTTTTGGCTGGCGCATGCCAACAGAGAACTTAGACATAAATATCATCAAACAAACAAAAGTGCCACTTTATCAATTGAGAAATGTGATGTAATGAGCAGAGTGCACATATGCCACTAAAATATTGGACACTGGCTTCAAAGTAACAAAAAAAAAAAAGGTAATCTTTTGCTAATTTTCCATTCAAACACACATTACATCCCATTTACTGCTGGGGAGATAACTCTGCCTTTCAAGAACAGAAAAGGAGGAGCAGCGCTAAAATCAGATAAGTGAGGGTTGCACAGCAGTCGATTAATCTGTCTCATTGCCATCCATCAGAATGACTATAATCCTAGTGATTAAGCTTTTCCCAACGCGGCCCTGCCGCTCTACAAGGCTGAGGTGAACAAATTAAAAATAAGTACACATTTCAAAATGCTGTAGATTGATTTATCTAAAACATTACATGCCACATTTGCAGCTATTCAGCCACATACAGTAGGACTGAAAAACAGCTCACACACACTGGGCTGCACGACACACTCCAGTGGAAATCGTTATGAAGCTATCAGGAAATTCATGCAGTATACTGATCTTTAGAGTTTTATATACTTGTGATGGACGAGGTGAGTGGGGTTCTCTGCTCTTACCTTCCAGGAATATCACAACCTTTAGCAGAATTTACAGTATCTGTAACCATTGTTGCAAAGGAAATGTGGGTCCTCCATGGTTCAAAATCTCTGAATCACCGCTTACATCTGTGATTTGGTCAGTGCTTCAAAAAGAGTGAATGAAGTGACTGTGTGGTAGAGTATGATTTTTAAAAAAGTGCTAGCAGAAAAAAATAAAGTATATCCTGAATGCTAAAACAGATTAAAAAAACAAAGCAGAATAATGGCCATAATATTGAGGACGGTAGGAAGCTCATTTTGTTTTAACCTCAAGATAAGATAAGCCAGTGATCTCTCTTGCATCATCTGTACTCAATAAGAGACATACAGAGGTTAGATATAGTGTCATCAACACTTGAAAAGGTGTAATACAACACAATGCAATAGCAGTGCAACAAATCCTACCTTTGTACTGCCTGTACTGTTCTATATTTGTTGAGACTGTGAAAGCGAGGTGCGATTACTTTATTTGTGAGGGTTTAGCCTGTCGTGCTGGGGGTGGCTTAATATATATTATATACTGTTGCCATTACTTGTTGTTTGTGTTTTTTTTTCCCCGCAAGCCTTGTAAAAATACAGTCACCAGTTACTTTGGAATACATTTCATTGGCTTCATGATGGGAATCTGATGTGTAGTTGTACACCAAGCATGAACAAGAGGACAGGATTCTGATGGAAAAATAAACTGCCTAAATAAACGGTATAGACTGATTCATCTTGTCACAGCTGTTTACAGTAAGACGTGTCGGCTT